GCCCGCCCGATGTTTTAAGCTGTTTGCCCACCCCGACTACAACTGTTTGCCCACCCCGACTACAACTGTTTGCCCACCCCGACTTCAGCTGTTTGCCCACCCCCACTTCAACACTTCAACTGTTTGCCCACCCCGACTTAGCTGTTTGCCCACCCCGACTTAGCTGTTTGCCCACCCCGAATTCAGCTGTTTGCCCCCCCCCCCCGACTTCAGCTGTTCACCCCCCCCTCGACTTCAGCTGTTCACCCCCCCCCCCCCCGACTTCAGCTGTTTGCCCCCCCCCCCCCCCCCCCCCCCACACACATCAATTGTTAGCCCACCCCACTACATTGCACTGCCACGGTTTCTGTTTCTTCATTACTGACGACATGGCACATTTTTACGACGCCAAATTTCCGATGACAATTGTGCTAAAAGCCCAAACCAGGTCGCCGATTCATAAACCCGTCCCGGTGTTAAACGGGTGTCTCAATGTTGTACCGGTATTTAAAGCTAGGGAAGATATAAATATTTTTGTTAAACGAAAATTGTGTATTCGGTGTTCTACAATACACAGTTGCTGTTCCAGATTAATTGTTTGAATTCTTGTAACCCGACAACATGACAATGTGACGTTGTTTCTTTACTCTATCACCTGTTAGGGTTAGGAGTAATGTCATGGATAATTTCGGGTGTCAGGGTCAAGGTTATGAAGAGAATTTGGGTAATCTTTGATGAAATTAGAATATAGTTGGAGGTTACTGGCTGCATAAATCAATGATTGGTGTCAGTTAAAAGTCTCACATTAAGTCCTTAAGATGGTGTCAATTAATGGTCTCAGATATGTCAAGATGGTGCCATTTAATGGTCTCACACAATCCCGTCATTTCGTGTCGATGTGTTTGGTCGTGGCAATGTTCGCCTGCGTGTTTGATCCAGCCGTTCATTAAAAAATCAACTCATTAATTAAAGCGTGAACGGCTGACGTGTTGTGGGTGACGCGGGTTGGGTACGGGCGGTATCAGTTACCTGAGCACAAGAGAGGGGGGGGGGAGCGGTTGTCTGAGTTTCTATAGGGCTACACGGGAGGGTGAGGGCTACACATGTCAGGGATAGAGCTACACATGTCTGTGTGAGGGCTACACGTCTAGGTGAGGGTTACACATCTGTGTGAGGGCTACACGTCTAGGTGAGGGCTACACGTCTGTGTGAGGGCTACACGTCTAGGTGAGGGCTACACATCTGTGTGAGGGCTTATGATCGTGACCAGACAAGCACACCGAGAGGTCACGGGTTGCCACGGTCACGTCAGTCACGTGATCACCGTGTCATTACTGCTACGAGTGACTCTCAATTTCTAATGTATGAGTTCCCATAAACAGTCTCGCTATTAAAATACGTGTGTTAAATTCTAGAAGCTTTTATTTAATCATGTCATACTGCTTTATCCAAAGTATTTATTATTATAGCTTACATCAGGGGTTTCAAAATTTTGGCATAGGATTAGAGTTTCGGCACTTCATTGGCGATCATTTTTAAAACAAGTTAATAAAAAGTCTAGTGACAATTTAAGCGCAATTTCCTTAATTAATTTTTTGTGACCGAACGAAAGGATATTTGTGAAAACTTTCTTCGGCAATATTGTTCTAAATTATGGCAGGAATCGATTGGTAAATGTTTCAAGTCGCTAAGTGGTCTGGTTGCCAAGATATGGGCCAAAAACTGCATTTTTTTTTAGGTTTTTGGGCTTTTCCGGGAAATCCATGAAGGAATTCCGGGAATTTTATTGGCCCACAATCATCCTCGGAACTTGCTTAACATATTTGCTTTTGGAACTAGTCCTCGATATTGCTTCGTTGAGGAGGAGATACGACTTAAAGCTGCGGACACACATCCATTCAGAAATAACGAATTAATAATCGCAACTGTCAGTATGGAAATTGCGCTAAAAAGTTGATGCCAGTTCTAAAGACACGTGCAATGTTAAGGTGTAAAAGGAGTTTACACGTCTGCTTTCTGGTTAGCAGTTCAGTACCATTGGAGTTTGTACAATAAGGGCACGTCTTGACCATCGGGTGAAACTAGCAACTAAATGTTGAAACATCCAGTTTAAGTACAGTAATTAAAGTTCCCTGAAAGTCCATATGGCAAGTTGCCTGTTTCAGTGTCCTCGGTATATGAATGGATAGTAGGGTCAGCAGTATGCCCAGACGTCTTTACGTTCACTAGCATTAGTCGGGTACCTATCAGAGACGTTCTACACACTTGAACCCGGATTCGAACTCGAGGCTTTTGGGTTAGCATCGTATGCTCTACCATTCGACCACGCCTTCCCACAATCAGTCTAAGAAGGCATATACAACTTGTAATTGCTTTAGTTCTCCTTTTATTCATTAATTGTGTTTACTTCATTAATCAGGGGACTGTTTATTTTATTATTTAGGGGATTATGTTTATTTCATTAGGGGACTGTTTATTTCATTAATTAGAGAACCATGTTTATTTCATTAATTAGGCGACCACGTTTATTTCATTAATTAGAGAACCATGTTTATTTCATTAATTAGGCGACCATGTTTATTTAATTAATTAGTGGACTGTTTAAGTAGCCCAACCCAGGCGATGGTCAGTACCTGTGGTCAGTTCTACAACACAACGGTACACGTCAAGAATATTCTTTCAATACGTTTAAGAGAGGGCGGGGAAAACCATAGGTTGAGGCCTGGCCAGCTCAGGTGCACGATGGAATGTGGGGGGTCAAGGGTCAACCTGTGGTCCCTTCCAACCAGCCTGTCGCCTGCCCCCATTTTTTTGCGCGTGAAAAATCTGAAACTGGAAAAAACTTTCACCGCGGGGGTGAGGGGAGGCGACCCAGTTGACACACACGTTACCTCCCCTGCCAGTGGTTAGGCTCACAGTTCTCTTCCCCTGACGTGTCGCCTATCGCACACCACACCCAACCCAAAAACAGACCCCTAAGATTACAATCCCGGATATCTGGAGGGGGGGGGGGCACCTCGTCACGTGATCCTTGTTTTTCTGACTCATCCATCTTGGCGTGACAGCCCCACCTCCCTCCCCACCTACCGACTCCAGGTCGCCTTTGTCTTTCTCCTTACCTGCGAGCAACAGGTAGTCACGACGCGCATGGCTTGTTGACAAACTCATCCGTACCTTGTGAGCAAACTCGACCCCCCCCCCCCCCCCGGGGGTGATGACGCGTCCCCTGGCACGGCCGACGTGTTTGCACAAATGTGTAAACACGTGCGCCCGGCATTTACTAGACGGACGCACGCTACACGCTGAACACACACACACACACACACACACACATACGAGTGGACAGTCGTGTCACGTGAACACGCCCGCTGACCTTGACCCCGTACCTACTCGCGTTGTCAAGGCTGTCTATACAAAAATGGCATCCAGAACTCTATACGCCTACATTATACAAGTTAATGCAAAAAAAAGTTACATAATTAAATGATCAATCTATTTAAATATTCATATTGATTTGGGAGAAGAAAGCAGTTTTTTAAAAATATTTTTTAAATAAATTTTTTAAAATATCAATTTAAATAGTCAATATTAAAGCATTACTTTCAATGAAATAGCCCACTTTAATCATAACGATACGGCTTGTATAAAATCGTAGGCCCCTTTTTGCATTACATTGAATGTTATAACGCCCAATTACGTAAAAAAAAACTTTAGGCAACAAGACCACAACGCCTCCAGTTTTTGTAAAATTAAAAATTTCATATTACCGCCCACTACCTTTTTTTTATAAAGCTGATATCCAGGTATGAACCACCTGTATGAAGATCTACAGGTGGAGCGGCAGCAAATGTAACCCAAGCCGCCTGTCAGCTTGTCCCCCCACGGAGGGTGCCGGGTCCAGACGTGTAGATAGCCTAGAGCACGTCACGCGGGTCTCCGGGTCACTCACGGGTCTAGACGTGTCGATAGCATTGGACACGTCACATGGGTCACTCTCGGGTCCAGACGTGTAGATAGCCTAGAGCACGTCACGCGGGTCTCCGGGTCACTCACGGGTCTAGACGTGTCGATAGCATTGGACACGTCACATGGGTCACTCTCGGGTCCAGACGTGTAGATAGCCTAGAGCACGTCACGCGGGTCTCCGGGTCACTCACGGGTCTAGACGTGTCGATAGCATTGGACACGTCACGCGGGTCTACGGGTCACTCACGGGTCCAGACGTGTAGATAGCCTTAAGCACGTCACACGGGTCTCCGGGTCACTTACGTATGTTGAAACTAGGACAGAACGTCACACGGGTCCTGGGTCACTCACGGGTCCAGACGTGTCGATAGCCTTGAGCACGTTACGCGGGTCACTCACGAACTGTTGATCTAAGGCCAGCTCAGCTAGGCACAGCTCAGATTTAAACCCAACTGACATTTTGTTTCTCAAAATAAACTCCCGAGTGTATTTCTATTTCTATTAATAAATTATACAATTTACCAAGACTACACTTTCGTGAATAAAAAATCATCCGCCTACTAGGATTACATATCTGTTTATAAAATATCCGGTTTTCTAATATGACAGTTATGCGAATAAAAAAAAACAGTGTAAGATTTATATATATATATCTGTAATTAAAAACACCCTAGATATATGAGCTATACGAGATAGTCCAAACAAAATCTTTTACTAGACCATGTTCTTCTCCCTTGTACCGCTTATCTCTGCTCACCCCTGCCCCCTACCACCGTCAACTGTCACATCTTATCTCTATACTCATCCTTACACGTCCCCCCCCCCCACCTCACTTGTCCTGTCCGACACTATCATACCTATGACCTTTGAACTATGTCGTAGGAGCCCTCTCGCGCACACCGGTTGGAATGTCAGCTCGGCGCGGGCTATTTTAAGCTCGGGTCTCTCACGAGACGACTTCACGACAGTCACCTACGGCAGGTTGGGGAACGACACCCCCCTCTCTCTCCCTCCCCCACCCCACCTTTTTTACTCAGTCAAGTCGAACCGCCGTGAGAAATGCACAGGAGAGGGTTCAGTCGTTTATCACAGGCTGTGACCCAACACACGCACGTCCCGTTCGTGCTGTGCTAGAACTATTATCACCTGAGGCTCATTCCCTCGGTGGGTGTGTGTGTGTGTGTGTGTAGGACATGCGAGCCCGCGTCACCAGTCTGTGCACGGGCGACACGGTCAGTCTCCGCTCAGCGTCGTGAGGCAAGCAACTAGTGGCGGTATGGCTGCCAGCCGAGGTATTTCGTTGTTTTCGTTTTTAAATTATTTTTGTCACCTTCATTTTATAGGCGAGTACATATTATACAATTAATTTCTAACCCGTCATATTTCTCATCGCTCTGATTGTCTACCTGTCTTTACATGCAACCAATACTAACTTCAACTTAGTTATACTATAGTGACTCTATTATTCTTTTTGATAGTGTATTGTGTTTTAGTTTTTAACTTTACCTAGTCTTTACTTTATCCGTATAGATAAGTATATATTACAACTATTTACAAAAGTTTATATATGGGCCTACAGAACATAAACCGATATGTTGATGTCCCATCATATGGTTATCACTAATTACTGACATCGTTATCATCGTTAATTAATATTAACATAAGTGTTACAGCCTTCTCTATGATGTCACCTGTTGCTGATATTCAGGTCAGGTGTTTAAAAAAAAACCGTTTATCAACGTACATGGAATTGTTGATCCTGTTTCTATTTTCATCTACACGCGACACCCACCTGAGGGAGCCAATTGAAAGGTGGTGTGTAGCTGCGCTTGTGACAATTAGTGTACTCGATTCCGCCTCGTGTAAGGGAGACGAGTGTCGCGACGCTTGGCCTACATGCTCGTGTTTTGGTAACACGGCGCTACCGTAGTAGTGGTGGGGCTGATTTTGTAAACAATAATAAACTGTCTTCATTGTGGGGGGGGGGGGGGTGATCTGCTTGTTCGGTGGTCACACTAAAGGGTTAGGTTAAGTCTAGGGTTTCGTTTTAATAACTTTATTAATACGTTGTAGTTATTAGCGCACTAATTTGATCCTATTGTTATGAAATTGAAAAAGAAAATCAATATTATTTATTATTAAATTATTGTCAGTACCAATCGATTAGGTTTAAGCTTAATTTCGTGCAGTGTTTCTTTACGGCATTTTCCCTCAGGGTATTTTTCTATTTGTGAGAGGGGGGGGGAGGGGGGTGATACGTGCTCGGAAAATGAGCACTGCCGATGTATTCTCATTTATTTGATGCCACTATGTGTTAAGGTTAGATATGGCTGAAGACTAATTGCAGTAATAGTATCAATGCTAAACGTAAACACATGATTCATGACGGTGTGGGAAAGCTTAACTCAAGCTTAACTTAAGTGTCGGCGTGGTCGAGTCGGTAAAGCTCATGGTTGCTAATCCGAAAAGTCTCGAGTTCGAACCCTCGGGCAGATGAGGCTCGTTAGCTGGGGACAGCCACTCGTCTAGGAGAGACAACTCCAAAATTAAACAACTGCTGCCTTGTAGTTTGTTCTTGGTTGGACAAAGGCTATGGAAGCAAATCCAAAAAGAAAAGCAGGCTGAAATCGGAGTCAATGGCCTCAACGGCGCATAACCAGTTGACACGTACCGCTTAATTGTGTTGGAGGCGTGGTCGAGTCGGCAAAAAAGCTCATAGTTGATCAATTCGAACAAAGTCTCGAGTTTAACCCACTGGCAGATAAATCTCGATCCCCTTCAACACTAAAAATTAAGAACGAAGAAGAAGAAGAAGATTATTAAATTATTGTCAGTACCAATCGATTAGGTTTAAGCTTAATTTCGTGCAGTGTTTCTTTACGGCATTTTCCCTCAGGGTATTTTTCTATTTGTGAGAGGGGGGGGGGGAGGGGGGTGATACGTGCTCGGAAAATGAGCACTGCCGATGTATTCTCATTTATTTGATGCCACTATGTGTTAAGGTTAGATATGGCTGAAGACTAATTGCAGTAATAGTATCAATGCTAAACGTAAACACATGATTCATGACGGTGTGGGAAAGCTTAACTCAAGCACCCATATGCCGTTTAAGTGTTACGAGAATTAGCTGAACGTACTTTGATACACAAACGTGGGACAAACCAAACAAATGTCGTGACAATAGTGTAAGGTGGGGGTGCTCGAAATGTGATGTGGGGGGGGGTTAGTAAAGTGTTGTTAAGTGATAGAAGGGGAGACTCGCGCTTGGTGGGGAGGGGGGAGGGGGCATGGACCAACAATTGATGTAGATAACCCCGTCGTTATAACCTTTGACCTTTTTGACCGCCGCCGGACTTGACCTATGGATAGTGTGCTGTATCGTTAAACGGCCACCACCTATTGTGGCGGGGGTGAAGGGTGGTATGTTTTTTTTTTTAAGTCAGACCGGATTGTCCACAACTCGTTAGCTACATATCGGATTTACCCGAGAATTAATTAATCTAATTTAATCAGTTGGGTTTTATTTAAGGTCTGATTAAAGACAAGTTATGGTCCATTAATTACACAATCATTCACTTTTGCAATGTAAATTGACACAATGCCTTTGTGTTTTAATATTTATTTGTTTATATTAGATCTCAATATCCCGAAATGCTCCTAATATATTGGATTTACATGCATTTTAATGGTCAAATATTGTTTTTATTTCTCTCGCGTATTATCTAAGTACGATTGTTTCCCTTTGTGTTGGATCAAGTTGCGGTACTTTTATTTGTATTAGCCTAATTATTCTGTTCCGCGAAGCTCGGCTGAATATTTCATGCGCTCCCACGCCTCGATGACCCTAGCACGTGCATAGTGGGTTAAACCAAGTTACACACACACACACAATAGTGGATGATCTAGAGACCTGTGTGGGGAGGGTGACCTATGTACCTCAATGTGTGGAGAGGGTGACCTATGTACCTCAATGTGTGGAGAGGGTGACCTATGTACCTCAATGTGTGGGGAGGGTGACCTATGTACCTCAATGTGTGGGGAGGGTGACCTGTGTACCTCAATGTGTGGGGAGGGTGACCTATGTACCTCAATGTGTGGGGAGGGTGACCTATGTACCTCAATGTGTGGGGAGGGTGACCTATGCACCTCACAGTGTGGGGAGGATTAGATATATGTTCACCTTACAGAAGGGGGAGGGTGTTAGGACATAACACACAATATGGGTGCCATAAAGACATTTCACAACAAGGGTGACATTAAGACCCTGTACCTCACAATGGGGTGTATGCGGGGCGGCGAGGTCTACTAGACGAGGTGTTCACAATGCCGAGTGCCATAAAGCCCTTCTAGAGCCCTACTTGCACGTGTGTACCACCCCAACACTAGGCCCTGCAGATAACGAGTGCCTAGGTTTATCTAGAACAAATCGTCGAGCTGGGCGCAGGTCAGGACTGCTCATGCATTTCATGTGAGCCGGTCGTGCTGGCGTCGTCTGCTAGCCGTCCCTAACGCGGCGGCCCTGAGCACGCTATTGTGACACCCCCGCCCTCCCCAAGACAGCTAGTTTTTAAAAAAAAAAATTACAGTTGTCTCTGTATTTAACAGAATGAACTTTATTCTCATCGATTGGCTCTATGCGTATCACTGTCTAGCATGGGTTTTCGATAACGTGTGAATGTATACTGTTTGGGCTGTGTTATCGTTAATAATACGTGGGTATACGTAGTCACATATAAGTGACTAGAATTGTATTCAAGAGTGTATACACCAGTAGTCAACTGGACCCTAGGCTTACAGCCAACCGTATGTCCACTTTTTACCTGTTGATTCAACTCTCCACCCCCACACTGTGCTGGTGAGACCGTCCTTGACCGAGTAGTCAAGCGTTGTGTGTGCGTGTGTGTGGATGACGTCACGCGAGTGTGACACTGTTGACACAGTCTAGCACTGGGCTGGGATCAGCAGTCGTCCCAGCACAGCACAGGTAGAAACTTCAGGTGAGCAGAGAGGGAGGGGGAGGCGATACAAGATCGTAGCTATAGGAAGGGGGAGGCGATAAAAGATCGTAGCTATAGAACATGTATAGTGAGGGAGAGGCAGCTATAGAACATGTATAGGGAGGTAGAGGCAGCTATAGAACATGTATAGGGAGGGAGAGGCAGCTATAGAACATGTATAGGGAGGGAGAGGCAGCTATATGACATGTATAGGCAGGGAGAGGCAATAAAGATAACTGACTGTCCTATAGCTCGGTGGTCCAGGAATTGTACTCCCCTATAACATTCTTACACTAAATAAAATCATTGCGTCTCAAATCGCGGTTACTGTAAGCTTTATTTTGTTCACAACGTGTTTGCTTATGGGATATGGTAAACCTTGCAACATAATTTTGACCCACTTCAAATACAGCCATTTCGTTTTAACTTGCCAAATACATTTGTCTCCAATGAAAATGCAAGAATATAAATTTTTAATCTAATTAGAAAATAGGTTCCTCAAAACGTAATGTAGTTTTATACAATCAAACTCAGTTTATGTTCTTTGTGACAGCTAATTAGGTACCCAATTAGTTTTTAGTTTTAGTCCAACTCACATCGCTCACATAGATGCGCAGTTTCTTCCAGGCATCTTTGGGGGTGGAGGGAATGGGGTGGAGCCGCCCCCCCCCCCCTGAAGATACCGCCCTCGAACAAAATGGAATTTATATACAAAATATATACTTTTAACAGCGTCCCCCGCCCCCCGGAGAAAAAAGTCTGCAAGAAACACTGTAGATGCGGTCTCTGACCACTGGTCAAAATTTTGGTCAATTAAAAAACGGAATGGGAATGTCAACAGAAGCTTCATGTCACAAAGGTCCTGTCACATTCTCTAGTGTCAAAGTTGATTAGGTCTGGGGCTATCAAATCTTAAAGTGTGGGGGTGGGGTGTGTGTGAGGGGGGGGGGGGTGATGTGACTAGTACCATCCGATAGTGTTGAGTACCACCCTATAGAGGGTGTGTTGTGACACACGGGACGTGACACTGTGACAGGGGTGTCGCAATAACCACCTCACCAGTCTACGGCAGGTGCCTGCCTACAAAGTGTAACACAGTAACCCGGAAGTGAAACATGGGCCGTGTGCTGTTAGACGTCGTCCCTCACCTGCGCTTGGTGTCACTGATTCACCGTGCTCCTCCATGTCCCCCTCCATGTCCCCGTAATGTTCTACATGTCCCCCATGTTCCCATCCATGTCCTCTAGATCCCCTACATGTTTTCCATGCCCCCTACATGTCCCCCTCCATGTCCTCCATGTTGTCCTCCATGTCCCCCTCCATGTCCTCTACATGCCCGCTAATGCTGCCTTACCCAACATCCATTTACTTGTTCACTACCACAATCTCTACCACATCACTACCACAATCTCTAACAAAATCACTACCACAATCTCTAACACAATCACTACCACAATCTCTAACACAATCACTACCACAATCTCTAACACATCACTACCACAATCTCTAACACAATCACTACCACAATCTCTAACACAATCACTACCACAATCTCTAACACATCACTACCACAATCTCTAACACATCACTACCACAATCTCTAACACATCACTACCACAATCTCTAACACAATCACTACCACAATCTCTAACACATTACTACCACATCACTACCACATCACTACCACAATCTCTAACACAATCACTACCACAATCTCTAACACATCACTACCACAATCTCTAACACATCACTACCACAATCTCTAAAACACAATCACTACCACATCACTACCACATCACTACCACATCACTACCACATCACTAGCACAATCTCTACCACATCATTACCACAATCTCTACCTCAATCACTACCACAATCTCTACCACAATCACTACCACAATCACTACCACAATCACTACCACAATCACTAACACATCATTACCACAATCACTACCACAATCACTAACACATCATTACCACAATCTCTACATAAATCTCTACAACATCACTACCACAATCGCTACCTCAATCACTACCACAATCACTGCCACATCACTACCACAATCACTACCACATCACTACCACAATCACTACCACAATCTCTACCACTGTAAACCATGTGCAGCATGTCGTTACTTACCCCACAAACTCCCTCACACACAATCTTAACCTGTAATTACGTCACCCCCCCCCCCCCCCCCCCTCCCAATACACACCTGTCAAACATTTAGTTATAAAATTTCCCACTGTAGTGGGGGGACTCCCCGGAAAAGTGTCGGCCAGTAGTCAACAGGTATACATGTTAATCACACCTGCACTGTTGTTGTGTGTAAACAGCGGCTGTTGTTTATAATTGTGGAGGGGGGGGGGGCTTGAACTTGTCCATTATAAGTTCACGGAGATTTGTTTACGATTTAATTTTGGGGTCAGAGGGCATTGGAAGGGGCAGCATTGACTTGGCCTGAGGCTATAATAGGGTGGGGGTGGGGCAGTCTTTATTTCCCCACATGGGACAGAACACAAGACGCCGCAATCTTATGTCCCATTTTTGGACAGAATACGATACAGTGCAATATGTTGACTAAAGACGTTCATGTGCGCTAAGTCTAACTGGTTAATAAAGATAGTTGTGCCATACAGCCTCAAGATGGGGCCCGCCGACTTCTAATGATCTTTCCTGTTAATTTTCCTTCAAAATTATTTTATACTCGCCGTGTAAAATTAAAATCGGCGACATCGAAGGTGTTGAGTTAATGCAAGGTGGGGCTGTCTTTATACGTGAAGCTGTTGTCTTTAGCTGGCGCTGTGTTGTCTTGCTCTAGACTGCTGTCTTTAAGATGGGAGGGGGGGGGTGTTACTATTGATGCATAAATTTTCACAAATCATATAAGGCCCGTTGAGTATCGGTCAATATACTTGAATATTGCTACCGTAGTTTCACTGTAAGCCTTTTTACGTTATCGAGTATCCGACAGTATGTAAGGTAGTTTAGATTGTTAATTGATTTTAATATCAGGTTTACGGCCATAAATTATGGTCAATATGTGGCGGGGTCTTATTTTATATTTGGTTCAGGTTTTAGGTTAGGGTAGACATCAGCAGGTCATGTTAGTGGCGTAATATTTGCGCGAGACATTGCAGGATTCAACTATCAAATGGTTTACAGTATCTTGTCGTCGTTCTCACACTGGAATTCCCCACACCGAGGCTCGGCCTGTGCTGTAAGACACCTAATAAGTGTCAACACAGTGCAGATGTAGGGATATTTCTATCACGACGCTGACCTTGCCGAGCGACCTTCCAACGCCGAACAATGTCGTCTGCTGAATGCACGCACACGTCCGCGGTGTGCCGTCGCAAGGTGCGACAAGACGGAACATCCTTGTAGAGTAGCTGCGACAACACATCACGCCGCGAGTGGACACCGTTTATCAATTAATTCGTTTTAATTACATATTCCCCCGGATTCGTTTTTTTTTTTTTTGCTTTCCGCGTTAGGATCCGTTTCGACAACTACACTCTATCTAAATCTTGGTTAAAAACAATGTCGTCAGTTTTAAAAGTTTTACATTCGAACTTAATCTAAGTAGGTCAGCACACGCAAGCATGCATAAACACGGCACGGTCGCCTCTCCACCCCGCTTCTCCCTCCCCCACCCCTGTCCTTATTTCTCGACGCGAGTGGATTGTGTTGTCAATGCAACCCAATTGTTGCTGACTGCGGTACCCCCCCCCCCCTCCCCTGGTATTAGCTATGCATGCCTTATCGGGATGAACATACAGCTCGCTCTCGCGTTATCTCGCCGCTAGAGGGAGAACTCGTCCCTCTAGTCCCGTCGAAGGTGAACACATCTCAGGAGTGTCACCAGGTGTCACCAGTATGCTCTGGGAGTGTCACCTTCAAAGCTTCTTTTAAGCGTCACCACCTTCTATCGTGTAATTACCACAACAATCATGCACTTACCATAATCAATACTTAAAACACTACCTCACATAGTAGAAATATAAAACCCATCAATGAGAGACATATAGGCCTACACTCATCAATACTTAAAACACTACCTCACATAATAGAAATATAAAACCCATCAATGAGAGACATATAGGCCTACACTCATCAATACTTAAAACACTACCTCACATAATAGAAATATAAAACCCATCAATGAGAGACATATAGGCCTACACTCATCACTACTTAAAACACTACCTCACATAGTAGAAATATAAAACTCATCAATGAGAGACATATAGGCCTACACTCAGCAAATCACCAGCCCACCTCCCCAACCCCACTCCCATCTTTTATAACCAGGTCACAAAGTAATTCACTAAATAGAGATATCCAGTATTAAAACACTTCTTATGACATTTGTCATTGGCTGGCTGCTCAATCAATAAATCTAGTTAAGAGAAAACAAAGCATCTTTTTACCCTCTTGAAATTGGCCTGATTATTATTTTACACGATTGCTTTGGGTTTGAGGATAGTTTTGGGTTAGTGTATAGTTGTCTAGGGTTAGTGTATAGTTGTCTAAGGTTACTGTATAGTTGTCTAAGGTTACTGTATAGTTGTCTAGGGTTAGTGAATAGTTGTCTAGGGTAAGTGTATAGTTGTCTAGGGTTAGTGTATAGTTGTCTAGGGTTAGTGTATAGTTGTCTAGGGTTAGTGTATAGTTGTCTAGGGTTAGTGAATAGTTGTCTAGGGTTAGAGCATAGTTGTCTAGGGTTAGTGAATAGTTGTCTAGGGTAGAGTATAGTTGTCTAGGGTTAGTGTATAGTTATCTTGGGTTAGTGTATAGTTATTTTAGATCAGTGTTAATTTCTTTGGGTTAGTGAAAATTTAATTTGGTTTTAATTGATCGTCCAAATGAATAAGGCACCCCATCTTTTAAAATGTAGACTTTGTTTTGATGCTGGAGGTTATTATGTGGTTTTAGCCTGTAATTAATTTACGAAACAGTTAAAGAAATAGTTGTATGTAAAACTTGCTTTATTGTCCAGGTGATATTGAAGAAGGCCGACTAGCCCTGCCTGATTGTATAAAGCTAGAAGATGGAGCAGATGAGGATGGCATGGATTCGCTGGACGACAGCGAAGATGACGGCTTGTTGATAGATGATATGCAGGTAGAGAAAGACAAATCATTTTTGAATATAAGCATTAGCTCAGAACTTGATTATCGTGTATATATAAGATACGTTAAAAATCTACATATAAAACTTGATAATTTCTAGACTAATGGTGTAATTTATAAGTACAATTGCAGCACTTTTTATTAATTGAAGTAAATTTGCCCACCTGTTAAAAACTGTCTTTACTTTTTTATTAATTGAAGTAAATTTGCTCACCTGGTAAAATCAGTCTTTTCTTTTTTTTACAGGAGGTGAAAGACACAGATGAAGCAGAAAAAGATTCAGAGGTTTGTATGATAGCTTTATTTTCATGCTGTTTAGACTTTGATATCTACCCTCATAATTTTTATGCTAGTTATTCTTACTTAATTATTCTGTTTATAGGCCTGCTTTAATCTTGCACAATTATACTTTAATATGCACATTTCTTTCTTTTTATAATCTTGGCTACACTTTAAAAAAAATTTTTTGTTAGTGTATAAGAATGTAATCTTTACATTTTGGTATATGTTTTCCTTGTTATACTTTGGAAATGTTTTATTGTTTTTTTAGTAAGAATTTTTTTGAATGAATTATCCTCTATTTTATGTTTTTTGTTACATTCAAATTAAGCTCATGTTTTTATTAAATTCAGGATGATGATCAAAATCAATTAGTTTTTAATGGCACAATGACTCGACGACAGTCCAGACAGTTCAAGGACGCAGGAAACAGCTTCGCTGTGTTTTCCGTGCGCTCACCAGCCAGCAAACCCAACAAGACGCGCACATGCGAGTATTGTCATGTGGTCAAGGCAACACCTGCCGCGCTTATACGACACTTGCGTAAACACACAGGGGAGAGGCCGTTTGTATGTCAGGTCAGTTGTGTGACTGAGCTAATCATGTATGTGGACGACAGGTGTCGTTACACTCAGAGTTGATGAACATATTGACACATAAAGAGGTTTAGAGTGGGTTTAGTATATAGATCTAGTTAGGATTGATAGGCTACTTCTAGAACTATGTCAGGAATATGTTGAGGTGAATTGTTTTTGTTATTATGACTGGTCTAGCCTGGATCCTAAACCTAACCCTAATTGTAAAACCTTCACATAATACTGTGTTGTTCAATACTAATGGTTATCTCCCATCAGTAATGCTAATAGACATCAACAGCATCCCTAGCTGTCCAATACTAACAGTTCTCTCCCATCAGTAATGCTAATAGACATCAACAGCATCCCCCCAAGAGTTTGAGCTCCCAACTTCCTTTAACAGCACTCACTTAAACCTGTATCATATCTTTATTATTAAAGTGGGAGAAGCTAGTTTTTATAATTGGTCTGTTGTTGATCTTCAATCAACTTTGAAGTATTTGAGACCATTATAGAATAGCCGCAGTAACCCAAGCTACTGTAGGCCACATATTGACTTAGTGGGAACATCTAATCCACAACTGGAAATTCTGATTTTTTAAAATCATATTATTAAATGGCTGTCCAGATAATGATTTTTCTTATTGGTCATAGATGACATGACTATATTTAGGTTTTTTTAAAATGTCATGTCCCAAACAAATGTAAGTTATTCTTGAAAATTTAATATACTAAAGAGAGGCTTGTATTTTTCAGCAGTGCGGCAAGGCTTACAAGGCCAAGAGAAGTTTACATCTCCACCAGAGCACCCACCACAGAGAGATCCCTGTCACTCCCCCAGTACAGCCTGCAGCACCCACTAGCACCCCGCTCACTGCTGCAGTCATTGTAAGTTTTTTTTTAGATCCCTGTCACTCCCCCAGTACAGCCTGCAGCACCCACTAGCACCCCGCTCACTGCTGCAGTCATTGTAAGTTTTTTTTTAGATCCCTGTCACTCCCCCAGTACAGCCTGCAGCACCCACTAGCACCCCACTCACTGCTGCAGTCATTGTAAGTTTTTTTTTAGATCCCCGTCACTCCCCCAGTACAGCCTGCAGTACCCACTAGCACCCCGCTCACTGCTGCAGTCATTGTAAGTTTTTTTTTAGATCCCCCTCACTCCCCCAGTACAGCCTGCAGTACCCACTAGCACCCCGCTCACTGCTGCTGTCATTGTAAGTTTCACTGGGTTCTATTCAAACTCTATCTCTTATGGCATAGTCAAAATTTAGGGTTGAATGAAAGTTTTTCCAAAATTCACATTTCAATTGAGATTTTTTTCCCAAACTGTATGTTTGAAAAAAAATTTGTAGCAGTGATATTTTTAGTGGGTTGTGTGAAAATGAAAAAGATATTTGTAAAGGTTTTGATGAGTGAATAAAAGTCTTGTTTGGTAAAATTAATTGATGGTAATTATTTGAACCATTTGTTATGCACCAGTATTAAAGTAGATCTTTAGTAACAGTCAAAGAAGTGCTTAAGGTCGTCCATATTTACAAATAACTTTTGTAAAGTAGATCTTTAGTAACATTCAAAAAAGTGCTTAAGGACGTCCAAATATAATTTTGTCTATTTTAGCAACAACTATCTGCAACCCCTGCTGTGTCTGAATCTACAAAGTCTTTATTACGGGAGACACTAGAGTCCAGTCGCAAGGCCAAAGATGGCAGCACAGGATGCCAGACCCCAGAGCTGACCCCCACCAGCTCAGTGAGGCCGGAGCTGACCCCCACTGGGAGGATCATTGAAAGGTTGTCAGCCCCAAACCTTGTCACTTTGCTCACTTCTGACTGTACTAAAAATGTCTCTCCAACAGAAGATGTTGGAAAGGGAGTTAACTGTTTGTAAGTTTAAGCCAGGAAATGAATTTCAGTTGCTTTCGATTTTTTCTTTGTTGAATTTGGATTTTATTATTTCTATTTACAGTTCACTTAATGATTTATTTTCAAACTCACTGTTAAAAAGACTTTTTTCTTAATTTCTAATATTAATATATAGTTGGAATAACATTATTGAAATAATTAAAATTCAACATAGAAAATAATTCAAAAAACTAATAAAGCAACACATTTTGGACATTTTTAACAGGCAGTTAAAATATTTGAACTTTATAAAAGATTTTATAGTTTTTTTAAAATTGACCTCTTAAAGTCTTTTTTACCAAAAACTTTTGGCAAGTTTTCGGCAATAAAATGACATATTTACCTCCATCCCTGGTTAAATAGTTGAAATTTCCTGCTTTTGTGTGTAGCGATGAGCGGTTTTTGGAGTGTTTTCAAACTTGAAATAATCAAAACACTCAATTGTTTCTCCTAACCAGTGAAGGAAATATATTTTTAAGAATATTTTTTTTAACCACATTCTTTTGCGTTTTGTAATATTCAATTAGCACAAGTTTTTAATTTACCTCATTTTTGTTTATCTGTTTTTTTTTTAATGTCTTGTCTTTAATCACATGAAAAATTGATGTGGATAATGACTGTTGTATCAGTAGAATGTACAGTAGATGAGTGTTGTATTGTTGAAAAATGAGTGTTGTATTGTTGAAAAATGAGTGTTGTATTGTTGAAAAATGAGTGTTGTATTGTTGAAAAATGAGTGTTGTATTGTTGAAAAATGAGTGTTGTATTGTTGAAAAATGAGTGTTGTATTGTTGAAAAATGAGTGTTGTATTGTTGAAAAATGAGTGTTGTATTGTTGAAAAATGAGTGTTGTATTGTTGAAAAATGAGTGTTGTATTGTTGAAAAATGAGTGTTGTATTGTTGAAAAATGAGTGTTGTATTGTTGAAAAATGAGTGTTGTATTGTTAAAAAATGAGTGTTGTATTGTTGAAAAATGAGTGTTGTATTGTTGAAAAATGAGTGTTGTATTGTTGAAAAATGAGTGTTGTATTGTTGAAAAATGAGTGTTGTATTGTTGAAAAATGAGTGTTGTATTGTTGAAAAATGAGTGTTGTATTGTTGAAAAATGAGTGTTGTATTGTTGAAAAATGAGTGTTGCATTGTTGAAAAATGAGTGTTGTATTGTTGAAAAATGAGTGTTGTATTGTTGAAAAATGAGTGTTGTATTGTTGAAAAATGAGTGTTGTATTGTTGAAAAATGAGTGTTGTATTGTTGAAAAATGAGTGTTGTATTGTTGAAAAATGAGTGTTGTATTGTTGAAAAATGAGTGTTGTATTGTTGAAAAATGAGTGTTGTATTGTTGAAAAATGAGTGTTGTATTGTTGAAAAATGAGTGTTGTATTGTTGAAAAATGAGTGTTGTATTGTTGAAAAATGAGTGTTGTATTGTTGAAAAATGAGTGTTGTATTGTTGAAAAATGAGTGTTGTATTGTTGAAAAATGAGTGTTGTATTGTTGAAAAATGAGTGTTGTATTGTTGAAAAATGAGTGTTGTATTGTTGAAAAATGAGTGTTGTATTGTTGAAAAATGAGTGTTGTATTGTTGAAAAATGAGTGTTGTATTGTTGAAAAATGAGTGTTGTATTGTTGAAAAATGAGTGTTGTATTGTTGAAAAATGAGTGTTGTATTGTTGAAAAATGAGTGTTGTATTTTTGAATAAGGAGTGTTGTATTGTTGGATAATGAGTGTTGTATTGTTGGATAATGAGTGTTGTATCCATAGAATGTCCAGTGAATGTTGTATCTGTAGAATATCCAGTAGATAATGAATGTTGTATCTGTAGAATATCCAGTAGATAATGAATGTTGTATCAGTAGAATATCCAGTAGATAATGAATGTTGTATCAGTAGAATATCCAGTAGATAATGAATGTTGTATCAGTAGAATATCCAGTAGATAATGAATGTTGTATCAGTAGAATATCCAGTAGATAACGAGTGTTGTATCAGTAGAATATCCAGTAGATAATGAATGTTGTATCAGTAGAATATCCAGTAGATAATGAATGTTGTATCAGTAGAATATCCAGTAGATAATGAATGTTGTATCAGTAGAATATCCAGTAGATAATGAATGTTGTATCAGTAGAATATCCAGTAGATAATGAATGTTGTATCAGTAGAATATCCAGTAGATAACGAGTGTTGTATCAGTAGAATATCCAGTAGATAATGAATGTTGTATCAGTAGAATATCCAGTAGATAATGAATGTTGTATCAGTAGAATATCCAGTAGATAATGAATGTTGTATCAGTAGAATATCCAGTAGATAATGAATGTTGTATCAGTAGAATATCCAGTAGATAATGAATGTTGTATCAGTAGAATATCCAGTAGATAATGAATGTTGTATCCCCAGAGCCAAGCTCCACCCAGACGTCAACACCAACTACCTGCTGAGTCCAGCCTTGGTCAAGGTGGAGAGGGACCAGGACCTGCTGGCCCTCAGTGTCAAGGAGGAGGAGCAGGCGGAGGACCTGAGCATGGCCTCCAAGAGAGCTGCTAGACCCACGCCAGAGAAGAGGCTCAAATGTGATGTAAGTTATTAGCGCAGGCTCAAATGTGATGTAAGTTCTTAGCGCAGGCTCAAATGTGATGTTAGTTCTTAGGGCAGGCTCAAATGTGATGTTAGTTATTAGCGCAGGCTCAAATGTGATGTAAGTTATTAGCGCTACAATAGGCTGCTGTATTTCTGACCAGAAGTAAAATGACCAGTGTGTTAGTAACTTATTAAATGTGTGTAGTAACTATCTACCTTGAAATTTGAATCAAGTTTCTAACCATCAGTGTTATTTAACCCCTTAGAACTTTCACTGTTTGTTTCTATTCTTTTTTTTCACCTTTCTGTTACCCTCACCTACTGTAGCCAAATCAATATTAAAATATATTTTTATTTACAGCTTTCAGACTTCTTTGCTGTTTGTTTTAGATATTTAAGTTTCCTTGAATAATTGATCTCATGTAAACTAATATTAGTTTTCAGAAGAAAATGTTGCTAGCTAAGAGGAGGATGATTTTTTTTAAAAAAGCTAATAATAATTTCTCTAACTTGGAGCCTACTTGTAGCTTACAAGCTGTTTTCTCTCTTCATCATCCTTTTCATTTCAGGTTTCAAACTTCACCAAAAATGTAGACTTAATGCTATTAAAACGATGTTTTAAGTTTCAGAAGGGGCTGAGCTTGACCCAGCATGTGGACACTTCTAAATGCATGTTCTCTTTCTTTCCCTAGTTTTGCAACAAGTCCTTCAAGCACGAGATCTCTCGCGCTAACCACACCCGTACCGCCCATGGCATCGTGATAAACTTCAACCCACTACAGCACGGTCTGTTTTCACTCTTAGATAGCAAACCCAGCTCAAATATCACCCAAACCTTACCTCACACTACACAGGAGCCGTCCGCCATCAAGTCCGATCCTGCGGCAGATTTGCCGTTTTCGTTACTCTCTCGTCAAGTCAGGGAGGCCACATGTGCCGAGGTGGTCAAGATGGAAATGCCAACGGTGAGCAGTGATGGACCGGTGCTGGATGAGAGCAATACGCTGCCGTATCACGTCACATCTCGGATGGTTCAGGAGTAAGTAAATTCTTGCGTCAGTTTTAAACATAATTTAATTGTCATTTTAATTGATTTATAAAAAATTAATGACTATACAATTTACTGTCAATTTTTTTTTTCTTTATTATTTTCCTTATATGACTTGGAGCTTTTAAATAACATTTTAATTTTCACCTTTTTAAATTTTAGTTTTAATGTAGAAGATCTAAGGATCAAAGATGCAGAAAAATCTGGTAGGTTGATTTTCACATGAATTTTATTTGTATCTAACATCTGTTATTTTCATAGCAATAATACATTTTTATTTGTGTCTCACGTGTTTTATTTCCTCTCCTCCAGTTCTGGCAGAAGATGGTGGCAACCGCAGGCTGAGGGTGACTGTTCTAAGAGAAACTGTTCTGGCCACCAGACTGGATGGAATCAACAACGTCACTGGCAGACGTGCTACAGTTTTCAAGTTAGACTTTTTTTTTTATTGTGACAGACTCTTTTTGGGTTGAAAAATTGTTACAAAAAAATAAAATCTATTATTTTTAAAAAGTTTGGAAATTGTTTTAAATTGTGTTATTGGAAAAATGTTAAATTGTTTAAAAAAAAATAATCTGGAATTGTTTCAAAACATGGTGAAATTTTTATTGTAAAAGTTTTTAAAACTGAGAAATTATTGCTGAATTAAATTTAAGTTAATCTAACTCTACAAATCTATGATGCTTCAAGTAGTTTAAAAGAAAGATTATCTTGACTGACTTATCTAATTTAAACATTAATTAACCCTGACGTAATTAAAATGTCACTTGACTACTAACCTGCAATGTTGTTGATGAATCCACTAGGTGTCACCTGTGCCTGCGTGTGTTCTCCTCCCTGCTCCGCTTCAACCACCACCTGCCCTCCCACTACGACACAGAGGTTCAAACCTATGACTGCAGGTACTGCGAGGCTTCGTTCCGCTCGCACGTCCAGATCGTCAAACATCTCCAGGTAACTCCATTCCTATCTTACTGTTGCTACTTCTAGCCATTCCTATCTTTCTCTTACTGCTGCTACTTCTATCCATTCCTTCCCTATTTGTAACAAGATCAGCACCTATTGACTGTACTGAGGTATCATGAAAGCACTATTTAAAAACAATGTGTCTAACTCGACAGTGTCACAGAGAAAAGTTCACTGGGGTCAACCAAGCTGGCACAGCTCTCAACAGCGCTGGTTTACTGTTGGAGGATCCACAGAGGGTAAGTTTCATTCCTTGTTTTAATTGGCTGCAGGCCTAACTGCCCACTGGTCAGTTGACCACAGGGTAAGTTTCATGCCTTGTTTTAATTGACTGCGTGCCTAACTACCCACTGGTCTGTTAATCACAGTAAGTTTCATGCCTTGTTTTAATTGACTGCGTGCCTAACTACCCACTGGTCTGTTAATCACAGTAAGTTTCATGCCTTGTTTTAATTGACTGCGTGCCTAACTACCCACTGGTCTGTTAATCACAGTAAGTTTCATGCCTTGTTTTAATTGGCTGCAGGCCTAACTGCCCACTGGTCTGTTAATCACAGGGTAAGTTTCATGCCTTGCTATAATTGGCTGCAGGCCTAACTGCCCACTGGTCTGTTAATCAAGAAGTAAGTTTCTGAATCAGTCCTTGTTAATTAGCCATGAGCCACTGGTCTTTTTACCACAGATAAATTTCAAATTTTTTCCTTGCCTTAATTATCAACTGGTATTGAAAGGCCCAAAACTAAAGGTTTGGCTAAGATTAACATCAGTTGTTTTCCAGGACTTGAGTCATTTATATTTCATTATACTTATAGCAATACTGTAAATAATAATTGTTTGAACCTTCAGTGTATTGCCTCATATACTAACTATAAAAGATATTATTTTGTCCAACAGAAACTGAAAGATCAGCACATAGACCTGCCCCTAAGTTCATCCAGTGCATTCAGCCCAACCTTCACCTCTGATGACTCCAGTCACATGATCTCCAGTACTGAGCCAGGTGAAAGGGCAAACGGTGGATACTCCTGCGTCAAGGTACACAAACTATCCCCATACCTGCTTATCATTAGTCTTAACAATAAATTAAAATTTTCTGCTCCCACGTCATTAGCTGCCTCAATGTTTATGTTGCTAATTTGATTTTTCAAGTGCCGCAAGAGCTTCAGTAGAGAGTACCTACTGCAGCGCCACATGCGCATCCACCAGAACCAAAGCACCTTCTACTGCCCAGACTGTGAGAGTGGTTTCAATGGTGAACAAGACCTTTTAGACCATCGCAGGGTGAGTTGTTTTAAGCACATTTACCTGTGTCAGCTGTTAGTATAAGCCGTGTCAGTTTTGTGAAGTGTGGAGATTCATCATTTTTGTTATCTTTATTTTGGTTGTCTTAAAGTTGTATTAAATTAAAAAAAAAAAAATCAAATTATTTGGCTGTTCCTGAGCTAATGGGGTTGTTTGGTAGAGCCAATACCACATTTTGCCTAGTTAAAAAAAAAAATTCTTAGTTTTCTTCGGCTAATTAAATAATTGTCTAAATTCTTAATTTGGCTAATTAAATTATTTTTTCATCTATATTACACTCTGGTTTGTTATTTTTCCACCTATATTCTAGCTTTGGCTTATAGAATAATTTTGCCATCTATAATTTTACCTTGGCTAATTAAATTATTTTTTCATCTGTTTTCTTACTTTGGCTAATTAAATTATTTTTTCATCTGTTTTCTTACTTTGGCTAATTAAATTATTTTTTCATGTTTTCTTACTTTGGCTAATTAAATTATTTTTTCATGTTTTCTTACTTTGGCTAGTTAAATTATTTTTTCATCTATAATTCTTTGGCTAATTAAATTATAGTTTCATCTGTTTTCTTACTTTGGCTAATGAAATTTTTTCATGTTTTCTTACTTTGGCTAATTAAATTATTTTTTCATCTGTTTTCTTACTTTGGCTAATTAAATTATTTTTTCATCTGTTTTCTTACTTCGGCTAATTTTTTTGTTATCTAACTCTTACATGGGCTAACCAAAAAATTCTCCCCTCAGCTGCACCACGGCATCAAAAGCCCAGAGCTGATGCAGTACACCAACCTACTGAAAAGTTTGAACGCTGGGGTTGACCCCAACAAGAAAGGGCTCCAGTCACACGTCTACCCCCTGGTGGACATGAAGGCTTTTGACCTGAGGCGTGGGCAGCAGGTGGAGGTGAGGATGGCCTCAGACGTCAACGACAAGGAGAGGGAGGAGACAGTAAGAATTTTTTTCTTGTTATATCAACACCTAGCCGTTATTTGTGTTGGGGCGTAGTCAAGCACATATTTATAAACAAGGAAAGTCTCAAGTCCAGGCTACCTGACCTGTCAAAAAAAGTAAAGGCAGATGGGCATTGAGATGACCACAAATCCTTTCAAATGATCAGTAGCAGTTAAACTCTATTTCATACGTATGAAATGGTTTAACACGATATTGCTTAACAAAAAATATTGATTAAGACATAGTAATACACTGGTTTCCGCAAAATACAAGATATTTTATATGCATTGCTTACTGAAATTCTTTGTTGCTAGAATAGATAGGCTAAAGTAAGGATGTTATTGATTGTGTGAACAAGTTGTGATTTCCTCTGTCGCCAATGTTATTGTTTACATGAACAAGTTGTGATTTCCTCTGTCGCCAATGTTATTGTTTACATAAACAAGCTGTGATTTCCTCTGTCACCAATCTTATTGTTTACATAAACAAGCTGTGATTTCCTCTGTCGCCAGCTAAGACGAGCACTGCTGCAGGGCTATCAGCACAACAAGGCCCTGGTCATGATGATGGCTGCAAGCACCAAGGCTGAGGACCAGAGGAAGGCCATGCAGCTGTTGGAGCAGATCAACACGCACCTGCTGCAGGTGGGGTACTGTCAGGTGTTGTGGGGGGGGGGGGGGGGGGGGGTCAATCTTACAGGTGTTGTGGGGGGGGGGGTCTTACAGGTGTTTGGGGGGGTGTCAGTCTTACAGGTGTTTGGGGGGGGGGGGGCAATCTTACAGGTGTTCTGGGGGGGGGGGGGGGGGGCAATCTTACAGGTGTTCTGGGAGGGGGGGCAATCTTACAGGTGTTCTATGGGGTGGTCAATCTTACAGGTGTTCTGAGGTACAACCTCGATCAGTGTGGCTGTAATTATTGTTTTTACAACCTTCAAAAGTGTGGCTGTAATTATCATTGTTTTTGCAACCTCTATCAGTGTGGCTGTAATTATCATTATGTTTTTGCAACCTCCAGCCCTCGGCACAACAGACAGAGCAGCTACGTCAGGCACTGCTGAACGCAACCAATGTTGATGAATGGACGAAAAGGGTGAAACTAGAGGAGGAGCTGAAGAAAAGGGAGGAGGAGGAAGTGCGACAGAAGGAGGAGAAAAAGAAAAGGAAGATGGAGAGAGATAAACTGAAGCAGATACTGGCCAAAGAGGGAATGGGGGACGTGACTGTTGTGCTACCTGATGCCCCGCCCCCTGATGAGGGTGATGTCACAGCTGACCAGCCAACTGACCTCTCCGCAAAGCAGCCAGCTTTGGGTTTTATGGCGAGGAAGATGGACAGTACATTAGCCTCATCCAGTCTTCCTGCTGATAAAGATAGAACATTTGGCATGGTAGGTGAACTGTTTTGTTATTTTTTGACTGTTTATTTATTAAGCCTGCATGCATTGATGACATTTTTTAGATACTTTTTTAAAATTTATTTGGATTGCATGCTTTAATAATATTGTATTTTACATATCACTTTTATTTATTGTTTTGGGTTACTGGCGTTACGTAAAATTTTTTTTTTCAAAATTTCTTTTTTTTTTCTTTGGACTGAGTAAATCAATGAAATCTGTTTTTACGTTGGGTGCATACATTTATGAAATTGTTTATTAGAATATATTATTATTATTAACCAATGGTGAACTATTTATCAGGAGTCTGAGCAACATCTGGCATCAAGTTTGAAAAGACCCCAAACTGTCTTACCAGAACATTCCTCAGGGCCTCCATCAAAGAACCGTAGAAAAGCAAACAAGCCCCAAAGGATACAGTTTGACAGGGAGACAACTCAGAAAGAAAAAGAGGACAAAAATAATAACAGCACATCCACCACTTTTCAGGCCAATAAAAAAGGTACCAGTTCCTCACAAATTTAACTTCATTCTTACACATTCTTTATGTTTTTGCTAGTACTTTTGTTGGCTTTAGAAAAACTGATTCAAATGGCGTTTGTTTTTTTCTTTCAGAGCCAGCAGCGCCAGAACCACCTGGTGGTGTAGAAGAGAAGAAAGTTATTGCAGGATCTGTCAGCCAACCACACACAGCTTACACCACAGAGGCCATCGACCTCAGCACTGAAAACAAGGAGAAAGCCTGGTCAGCCTTTACTGTTGTCAACCGCACCGCCTCATCCTCGCCCTCTGTCTCCCCCTCACCTGACGACCAGCATGACTCCGGCACCAAAAAGATAAAACCCACCATCAGCCCCCCTGCTCTCGACTCTGAAAATTCCCTGTCTCAGGAACTCACGTCTGCTGCGGATTTATCTAAAGCCACCAGGCAGCTCAGCATTCAGATTCCATCATCCGTGAATGGATCCGCCTCCCTGCCTGGTAACTTTGCTAGCATTAACTCCAGCATCTCGCTGCCATCTGATCCTGAGAATCTTGTCGGCTGCCCTCGTGTGTTGTGGAAGTCGGAGTACCCAACACCTTCAGAAATCTCGGAGAATTTTCTCGCCAAAGGCCAGTGGAACGGTAAAGGAAATAAAACATCTGTTCCTCAGACGCCATCGCCGGCTCCATCGCCCACCAACTCTGACACGTCATCAGCGGAAGGGAGGAAGATCACAACGACCTCACTGTCTCGCACCCACTCCAGGTGAGTACTACCGCACATAGCGCGAGCAAAGATAACCCTGAGCTTTTAATGCTTTTAGCCATCAGTTGTGGCTTTCATTGGTTTGTCCTGTAACATGTCAATTTTTTTGTTTTTACCTCAAATATTCGGAGAATGGACAACCAGAATATTAACATGAATGGGAGATCACTCAAATATAAAACTGTAACAAACTTGTCTGGCCTTGTCTTCAGATCTATTGAATTCTAGTCTTCTGATCCCATTAATTCTAGAAGTTCTTACATTTCCTGTCATACTGCTTTATCATGCCAGGTGGCTTATCTGCTTCAGAGGGTACTTTTATGATATATTTTTTTCAAAAGTCTTCTCAGGAAAGGGGTTGCTGTGGTACTGCTAGGGGTTGGTAGGTTAGGTGACAAGCTTTTAGTGCTGAGGTACCACATAAAGAAGTGGCTGCTATAAATTTAGAAAAGTTGGCGCAACAAAATCATATTTTAAATTTGGGGTGGGGAGGGGGGGAGGTCAACTTAAAAAATATTTTAAACTAGTTAGGGTAAAATCTTGTGTCAGGGTTGTAGATGTTTGTCTGTTTTGCTGTTTGAGTAGTAGTAAAAAAACCTTAGGGTCCTGAGTTGTTTCCTCATCTTATCCTGTTATTCACATTGTTGGATGTTATTTCTGAATAATTTATAAATTTTCAAAATATTTTTGATCAGTAGAATATTAGTCTATGTACAACATGATTTTCTGTCTTAAGAACAACAACCCAGCTCTGTGTATCTGTTTATGTCTGCTTGTTGTAGTCTCCACCTGCTCTTGAAAGTTTTGGTCATTAACTGGCTTCTAATTTTTTGTCTTTTGTTTGCAACTGGGTCATTTTTGCAGTGCAAGAGCCACGTCACTATCCCGCACCCACTCCAGGTTTGTCAGTCTGGTTGTTTTGTAGACCTCCTGTATTTCTCCACTAACTCTCATGTATGCATGCTCTAGTTGAGTACCCACTAACCCAAAGGTCTTACTAGGTGGGGCTAGCACAAATTACTAACTACTAGTTTGACAAACCCTAACCTGATGTTGTGCCTAATTTTGATTACATAGGAATTACAAAATTGATATTTGTTAATAAAAATAAATTGTGAATGGATTAGCTAAAAAAATTAATTTCTGATGTATAGTCTGTTTGACTATTTGTGAAAATAAATAAATGAATGACTAAATAGAATAAATATATTTCATTTTCAAACACCCCAAACCTTAACCACAAGTTGTGGTGATTACTCTTTTTAACTCTTTTTAGATACTACATAGAGCTAGGATATTTTGGTACTTTGTTTAAACCCTCAACAACTTTTTATACTTAAAAAATTTGAATCATGTAGCAAATTATGTAATACGAGCCGGCCCGCGGCATAACATACGCCGCTATTTAGTTGTTTCTAATTTTCAATAATTCATAATTTGTGAATTCGACAGTACCAACGCTGATACTGAAAATATTTCTTTAAAACACTATAAGTAGCTCGTTAAGGACCATAACCCCCCCCCCTTCCTTCCCTCCCCCCCTCCTCCCCCCCCCCCCCCTACGTTTAAAATCGTTGGCTCTGCTTGTAAACATTTAGAGTGAACACAGCTCACTAAAACCATGTAGGGGTGGGGAGGTAGGGAGAGCGTTTGCAGCTTGTTTTCTAACGGCTCGAAGAAGAGAATTATATATATAGATGTAAGAAGGTAAAAAAATCATGATGGTTCAATAACATTTCTTCTATTGAAATTTTAGGTGGTTATTTTTGTCTGATTCTTGCTTTTGTATTTTAAGTAGCAAGCTGTAGTTGTACTTTAATCATGTATATTATTATCATCAGTTAAAGTTTATGGTTTATGTGTATGTATAGTCCTAATGTATACATTTAAAATACCCATTTGTCTGCCATATTTTCCTAATTATGTATTTATAGGGTTTTTAATTTCCATTTTCAAGCTGTGGTTGGTCCAAATTAAAATTATTTTTATAATCAATGACACTAATGTCCAATCAATGGGCCCCTATAAGAAAAGTGATGTTCCTTTAGGTTTCTTACAAATATAGTATTCACCCAACCATTTTTTAAATAGGCCAACTTCGTTTTTCTTACATTACTTTCTGTTGGCCTATAACAAATGTTTTTTATATAAATATGCCTACTTTGTGTTTTATAAATTACATGTATATTACACAGAATTAGTCTTTCAAGCAAAGTTTTTCTACTTTCCTAGTTTTCTCATAGTGCTGTAAACATTCATTTATACATCTACTGTAGGTTGCATATCTTGTGTAGTGATCTAGATGTAGACATTTTCATGCATGTTCTAACTCACTTTGGATCTTCTCACCGCATGTTTTTGTTGACGGCACACAGTAAATTAGTACACCTAGCGCTAACAAGCTTCCATACACAGTGTACCACCTGTCATCACACACCACTCTAGGCTGCTCAATTTTTTTATTTCAACAATTTTATCCTGTTAGGGATTATGAGAGTATTAATTATAGATTTTCAGTTTTTTTTAATGAAATTTATCAGTTTTGGGCAAAAATACATTCTTTACTTTCCGTAGCTACAAAATCAACATTTGGAATTTGTATTGTTACCTAAAAGAAAATTTATCAAAACACTGAAGTGTCAAAAATAAAATATTAAAATGGGTTGGTTAAGAGGTTATCCATGAATGACATACATAATTTTTTCATGAATTTTTCTCCCCCCATCACCTTTATCACATTGTCACAAAACAAAAATATTAAAATAATGTCAGTCTTCAACCTTACACTCCCCTCTCCAAATTAAACTTAGTTTTTTTAATACTGAGGTTGTTCTTCTAAAAAATAAATTGAGCTAGGTCAAAAAAAGGTATATTGATCAAATTTTGTTACAGATACTATAACTTTATATTATAACTTACAACAGTTAATAAGAAATTCAAAATAACTGCAAAAATTCAATTTAAAAAAAGTCTAACCCCCCCCCCCCCCCACCTCAAAATGCTATGTCACACATGGATGACCTCCTACACTGAACCTGTGACAGTTTGTGATGACTGACCTCTGTGATGAGTGTCCTGACCTTCTTGTCTCTCCCTGCTCAGGCTGTCTGTTGTGAACGAGCCCCTGGACAGAAACTCCCTGTGTAAGCCCAAGGTACTGGATGACGGCAGGTCTGTCTACAGCTGCGTCATTTGTCACAAGAACTTTCTCTCCCTCTCTGACATCAACAGACACATGGACTTCCACGAAGGTAAGTCTTCATTCTATCTCCTCATCTGGTAAGTGTTCAATAGGGTTGCCAGGTGTCCAGTTTTGAACTGGACAGTCCAGTATTTGAGCAGACTGTCCAGGATAAAATAAATATAAATACTGGACAAGTATATGAATAATACTCTTTTACCCCCCTTCTTCTGCTTTGTGGCATACCTGAGAAGGGAAGGATGGAAAGGTGTCCAGTATTTTCGGAAAAGGTATCTGGCAACCCTAGTCTTCAATCTGTCTGGTAAAAAATCGACAGTTTGAAGATAAATATTTTAAACTTTAAATGGAGTTGTAGAATATTCAAACAGTATCATTTAAATTTAAAATTTAAATTGTCGAGGTGACGACATTAAAAGTGATTTAAGCAAAGTATATAATCTATAGTGTATTGTCTATATTTATTTATTTCACCCAGTCACAAATTAGCTGCTTGCTAATAACTTGCCTAATTAGTTCCTCTCAGCCTGGAATTTAATAAGTTTTTTGTTAGGAATTCTAAATATATAAATGCATAAGATAATTGAATAAATGGAGATAGTTGAAGTCCTTGAACCACTTATCTTTGCTAACAAAAGATTTGTATCTTCTGCTCACCGTTCCAGTTGGTATGTTGCTCATTGGTTGTGGACCACGTGTTTGATGTATATCACTTTTTAGTTGTATTTTTTTCACTTTGTTTTTAGTGGTAATGCATATGTTTAGTGCGGGTGTCTTTGCAATATTATTTCAGTTTGTTTTATTGCTAGACATTTTTTTTTGAGTGGATTTCAACACACAAAACAATTCATTTAATTTTTTTTGCATTTTCTTTCTTCTGGTAATTTAATGGAGGTTATATTTTTACTTAGGGCAGTGTAAAGTAGCCTACTGTATTTAAAAAAATAGTGAAATAAATATCGATTAAAAAATATTGGTAACCAAATCAATTATATCACAAGTCGTTAAAATGCAGGAGGGGGGGGGGGAGTTCACAATTTTTGATATGGCTGTTGAAACTTCATGAATTTTACAAAGTAGTTTATAATAAACTTTAATGGAGGGGGTAAATACCTTTAAATATTGTTTCCTTCCTGTTTGCTTTTATTTTGAAGCAGGAATTTTTAGACATTAAGTTGTGTTATTTCTTTTTTTTTTAAATTTTCGTGCAGTTTTAAAAAAAAAAAATAATTATGAAGCTCTACTATCTGTTAAATAGTTTTTAAAAAGTCCCATTATGAAGACGAAGGCTAAATAATTACCCAAACTCTTCTCACCAAGAAGTGTGTGTGGGTAGGCCTACTTTTGGATGTTATATTGGAGGCCAATTTTATATTTTACTCTGTTGTTTATAGCTGTTGTACTCAATGCTGTCAGTATCAAAGTATGCAATGGTTCTTTAAATACTTGAAATAGCCAAGATTATTTTTTTTGTTTACTTTTTTATTTGTGCTTTTAAAAGACTGCACTTTTCATGGTCAGTGAATATTTGTAAAATAAAGATGCAATATATAAAAAAAAAACAATTATTGAATCTACTTTAAAGCTCAACTTTCGTAGCTTATTTTAAAAATATTTTTGAAAGTTTGTCGTAACAAATCCATTTATATTTAATGACTCGAACATATAACTTGTATTGCTTTTAACAAACATTTTTATTAATTGTATGTGTAGCATATGAAATGGAATTGATGCTTATCAGTTAATGATTCTGTATGACAAAGTACTAGGTATTTTATATGAATAATTTATATCAAAATATTTCAGTTTCGTGTTAAAGAATTTTCTCTAATTTAAATGTGTGTGGTGAATGTTTTTATGAATGAAATTCTTGTACGCTACTTCAGATATCCGGCCATACAAGTGCAAATATTGTGACTACTACGCCAGGACTAACAGCCAACTTAAAGTTCATAAACTGAGGCATGAAGGTAAGTAGATGGGCCACCGTATGGTGTCACTCTAGACCAGAGGCATAGCGACCCTTCCCGGCGCCCGGGGACAAACTTTCAATTTGCACCCCCACCCCTCAAACTTTCGATTTGCACCCCCTCTCGAGATTTCCATTTGCACCCACCCCCCCCCCCCCCCCTCAAACTTTCGATTTGCACCCCCCTCAACCTTTCAATTTATTGTTCCAATCCATTTTGGCGCCCCCTAAGGTCGGCGCCTGGGGACATACGTCATCTCCCCACCCCGCTACGCTACGGCTCTAGACCATGAATGGTGTCACGCTAAACTAATACCTGTCCCTATCTCTAACTTTATCCTTATCTGTAACCCTATTCCTAACTGATCTTTAATCTATCCCAATTTTTATCCTGAACCTATCCCAATCTGTATCCATCTCAAATTACATTTTTTTTGAGTGTGTGGGGAAATTGACGGGGGGGGGGGGGGTAATGTTCAAGATTGATGGTGCCCTTTACGAGTTTCTAGTCCTATGCCCTAGCGTCCTATGCCCTAGCATCCTATGCCCTAGCATCCTATGCCCTATGCCCTAGCCTCCCTAGCCTCCTATGCCCTGGCGTCCTATGCCCTGGCGTCCTTTCCTATGCCCTGGCGTCCTATGCCCTGGCCTCCTATGCCCTGGCGTCCTATGCCCTAGCCTCCTATGCCCTAGCCTCCTATGCCCTAGCCTCCTATGCCCTAGCGTCCTATGCCATAGCCTCCTATGCCCTAGCCTCCTATGCCCTAGCGTCCCTACATGTCTGAATATTTTTGTTCCAGGTGTGAGAGAGTTCTGCTGCCGAGTGTGCAACTACAAAGGCGTGACACAGTCTGACTTGAACAGGCACATGAAGTCCCAGGTGCACCTGCTCAGGTCCAACCACGTGTGTGCCCAGTGTGGGGAGGGGTTCGTCACGCCCAAGACCCTGCGGGACCACTCCCTGTCCTGCACAGGTTCTGTGGATAAAAGCTTTGATGGCGTGTCGGCCAACGACAACGATGATGAGCTCAACGATGAGGATTACGATGAGGAGGATCTGATGAGCGTGGAGGAGTCGAGCCAAGGTAACCAAGGTAACGGCAGTACTGTTCTAGCAGAGGTCAAGGTCGCGGTTATGTAAATTTGATGATTTGTGAATTACTGCAGTTATGTTAAGTAGAAAATAAATTTTGTGACTTTTATTCTTGTACATAAAAAAGAATCAATTTTAACTAGAATTTGACAATGTAGTTGAATGAATTCTGCTGTATAATGATCTACCTTTCTGATGAAATCACTGATGTATCTGCCACTGAGGACACCACATAACAGGAACATGTCTCCAAATATTACTGGATGCTCACAAATGTTCATTCCATCCAGACCAACATTATTTATTCCGGTTCCAAACGCTGTATGGTACAGCAATGTTTGCTGTTAAGTTCATTTTCTTGTGATATGGGTCTGGGGTTGCTGGAGATTATTGGTGGCCAAAACATTTCATCGCCATATGGATATCTGGCAACCAGGCAACTCATAGCCATTGGCCAGGATTTTTGTATCAAATTTCAGGAGTGATTTAAAAAAAATTGATATTTGTTTTTTTAGTGGTAGATTTGGTTGTAACATGGCCTTTGATTGGTCAATTCCATTGTCAACACATTTGCCCTTTACACTCCTCCACAATACACTCCAAGTGAGCTCCCCTAAGGACATTCCATTGTGCTGACTTCCCTTTGTCAGCTATCCTACACTCAAAACCTGGAGATTCAGTGTGTTTTTTAAATTGCCATGAACTAGCTAGCACTTTCACTTTTCTTTTTCTAAACACTTGGACAGTGTAATAAATTGAATTATTTTCCTATTGCCATTTATTTTAAGTAAAATATTTGCAACATGGCTACTGAAGTAGTATAGTGCTTTTTAAATGTAGATTAAGAAGAATGATTAATTAAGCTCACACTAATACACTTGTGGTAAACACTTGCAATGGTAAATGTATTTACTTGCAAACATAACGTTTGGTTGTTCGATTCCAGTTCAAATTGTATAATGTATATATAGAGATTCTTTAAAAAAAGTTATTATTGCTACAATTATATATCATTCCTAAGGTTGGTTGTGATTTTTATAAATTTTTATGTATATATTTATATACGTCTCAAGGTGTTCTATAGGACGTTTACACCTTTTTTAAAATTTTGCCTTTTACTTTTTTTTGTATAGAACGACCAATCAAAGTTGATTATTGTAATATGTACAGGTGTGTTCAGGGGATTTTTTTTTTGTTAGTGTGTTTGGAATAAACATGGCCCAGCTATTTAATTAGCCCAGCTGTGGGTGTTTAATTAGCCCAGCCCAGCTGTGGGTGTTTAATTAGCCCAGCTGTGGGTGTTTAATTATCCCAGCTGTGGATGTTTAATTAGCCCAGCCCAGCTGTGGGTGTTTAATTAGCCCAGCCCAGCTGTGGGTGTTTAATTAGCCCAGCCCAGCTGTGGGTGTTTAATTAGCCCAGCCCAGCTGTGGATGTTTAATTAGCCCAGCCCAGCTGTGGATGTTTAATTAGCCCAGCTGTGGATGTTTAATTAGCCCAGCCCAGCTGTGGGTGTTTAATTAGCCCAGCCCAGCTGTGGATGTTTAATTAGCCCAGCCCAGCTGTGGATGTTTAATTAGCCCAGCCCAGCTGTGGATGTTTAATTAGCCCAGCCCAGCTGTGGGTGTTTAATTATCCCAGCTGTGGATGTTTAATTAGCCCAGCCCAGCTGTGGATGTTTAATTAGCCCAGCCCAGCTGTGTGTTTTAGCTCATGTTTAGCTCAGTGTTTAAGGGCACAACTCAGTCCCATCGGTGAGAATCAAATCTTGTTGTACTTAAAATGTTTGCCAGAAAATTGTCGTTGAAGTAAGTTTATTTCTTAGTTTTGAATGTGCCAAAATAGTTAATGAGCAAAGTAGTTCATTTAAATTTAATGATGTAATTGTATAAAAATTTTAAATACATTTTTGGAATATGATAAATTAAAAAGATATTTAGCACTTTGATATTTGATGGTCTAACTTTTTAAATACATTTTTTTTAAAAATTCAAGAATTTCAAAATGATTTTCTTGTATAATAAACAACCATTTGTGAATAACAAAAAATTTTTCCTGCTAATCTAACCTTATTTTTGTACAAACCACACAAAAATTATTTAAATTCCTCTTTCTAACTGTTTAAAGTAGGTCTGTTTCTACGTTTATATTAGTGCTTTATAATTGAAACCTACTTTCCATATTTTTTCAGTCTTTTTGTGTAAAAAAAAATAGAAACAAAATTCAGATGAGCCAAAATTGGTTTTCCCTAAATTCATGTTTATTACTTGTCTCATGAACATTTTTATAAAAATCTAGTTTAATCTTCAAATGGGCACCGTAAGATATTTCAAAGAATTTGTACTTATAAAAATATGGCAAACACATAAAACTGTAATCACCAATGATAGTATGACCTACTTTAGCAAGTGGCTGACCCACTTCAACTTGAGGCTGACCTACTTATATGTAACATTTTCCTAAATAATTTTATTTTTACATTCCTATTTTAGTAATGTTTTAGTATTAAATACACTACACTCGTTCAATGTATGTATACAAGTTATGCTTGCATCTTAAGAAACATGTTTTTGTAAATAGTTATGTTTTAAAACTTAAAAAAAAAATAATTTTATTATCTAAATAATGTATAACGTTTCCAGTGTAATTAAAATACGAAATTTTATTTTTTCTTTCTTTTTTTTTTCATTACTAAAGTACACATAGCTAATCAAGAGTTTAATCACTCAGTTAGTGATATTATTTATCATTTTCATTTATAAATATTTACATTTCTTTAAAAATTGTTGATTTGTTCAATTTTTGTTTTTTGTTCTACTATGATTATTTTTATTATAAATGGCATTATAAATGGTTAATGACATTTTTGTTCAGACCCACCTTGATTTATAGGATCAAAATATTTTAACACAAGTGGCAAGGAAATCAAAAGCTTCTTGTAATTAATCAAACTGTTTCGATTGGCTCAGTTGTTAACAATGACTGTGGCCATGACGACACATGGCCAAATACTTGTTGTAATGGTCAAGTCATCACACCTACTTATTGGGTATGATGTCACATCCTAATCCTGTAATTAATGACCATGACGTCACATGACCAAATGTAACTGACTGGGACCTCAAGTCTACGAACTGGTACTTAAAACAATGACAACAGGATGACTGGCTTAAACTACACTTCAAATGTTTGTAGTAACTTTTGGTTAGAACTTGTGCAGTTGAATAAAACATTTTTCTAGCCATCATGGCACATCTAATGCTAATTTGTGATAGCAACTGAATCTGGTTGTACATGGACTTATTTTTTCCCAATCAAAATATTTTCTGCACCAATCTTCTTCTACATGAAAATACCTCACTTTTTAAAAAGCCCAGCTCTGTATGTTTGAAATTTTTTTCTATTTGTTGCCTAAACTAATGTGAAATTTTTACATGTGATAATATCAGTGAGAAACTGCTACACAATTTTTTTTTAAATTGGAAAAAATTTGTTACCAAATCTTGTTTCGTTGCTTCCATTTTAAATTCTATATTTTAATTTTCCCTATTTTATACTGTGGTCATGTGGTTGAATTTGTAGCCTCAAACCCTGGACCAAAGTGTATGTAGTTAATTAGGGTTGTGCTGTCTCACCTAATTGTTTGCTCAGTGCTTTTTTCTCTGCCTTGATTGTGTAGATCTACTGTGTGTACCATCATCATCTTGTTTGTGTATGGTTTGTGTACATCACAATGTTGGTGTACTGTGTGTATGTCATCACCTTGTTTGTGTATGGTTTGTGTACATCACAATGTTGGTGTACTGTGTGTACATCATCACCTTGTTTGTGTACTGTGTGTGTACATCATCACTGATTGTGTAGTGTACATTATCCTTGTGATCATGTTATATGTGTATGTGATCACCTCCATTGTGTACTGATGTTTACATTATCACCTTGATTGTGTAGCGTGTGTGATCATGGTCACCTTGATTGTGTATTGGGTATACATGATTACCTTGATTGTGTACTGTGTGTACATTATCTATCATTATCATTCCATTTTTGTACATAAATTGCCATAGAGTACTTATCAAGAGTTCAAAGGTTGTAATTAAAATTTTATATACCAGATGTTTTGGGTTTTTTCTTTCTATATGCTTCACAAGATATGGTGTTTGTGTGTGTTAGTATCGTCGTGTGAGGGTGGGCGTGTTAGTATTGTGGTGTGAGGGTGGGTGTGTTAGTATCGTGGTGTGAGGGTGGGTGTGTTAGTATCGTGGTGTGAGGGTGGGTGTGTTAGTATTGTGGTGTGAGGGTGGGTGTGTTAGTATCGTGGTGTGAGGTTGGGTGTGTTAGTATTGTGGTGTGAGGGTGGGTGTTTTAGTATTGTGGTGTACAAAGATGCAATTTCTCCGTTTTGTTTTGCTGAAATTATGTTTAAGCCGAACGAAATGGAATTTATATAGGAAACATACTTTTAACAGTGTTCGACTCCCCCCCCCCCAACCCGAATATTAAAGTGCCCCCACTCCCGGAGAAAAAGTATGGAAGAAACTCTGCATACAAACATACGCAGACACATGAAATCAAACTATCTAACCGAGTAGATCAATCTTAGTGAAATATAAATTTGTACAGAAATATGAATTCCGCTCCAAGCAATATAAACTTAAATTCAGTATCAAAGATTAATACATGTATTAAACAGCCTTGGTGAAGTAACAAGGTACGCAACTCTCATTGGCAATACCACAAAGTATTCTTAAAGTGTTTCCCTTACAAGTCTCCCGGTAAAATCGAAAAAGCGGGTCAGGTGATAAAGCCTCGGTGACTGATGAACAAAATTTACTGTCTCAGTGACCAGAGAACACCATGTACTGTCTCAGTGACCAGAGAACACCATGTACTGTCTCAGTGACCAGAGAACACCATGTCTCAGTGACCAGAGAACACCATGTACTGTCTCAGTGACCAGAGAACACCATGTCTCAGTGACCAGAAAACACCATGTACTGTCTCAGTGACCAGAGAACACCATGTACTGTCTCAGTGACCAGAGAACACCATGTACTGTCTCAGTGACCAGAGAACACCATGTCTCAGTGACCAGAAAACACCATGTACTGTCTCAGTGACCAGAGAACACCATGTACTGTCTCAGTGACCAGAGAACACCATGTACTGTCTCAGTGACCAGAGAACACCATGTCTCAGTGACCAGAAAACACCATGTACTGTCTCAGTGACCAGAGAACACCATGTACTGTCTCAGTGACCAGAGAACACCATGTACTGTCTCAGTGACCAGAGAACACCATGTCTCAGTGACCAGAAAACACCATGTACTGTCTCAGTGACCAGAGAACACCATGTACTGTCTCAGTGACCAGAGAACACCATGTACTGTCTCAGTGACCAGAGAACACCATGTCTCAGTGACCAGAAAACACCATGTACTGTCTCAGTGACCAGAGAACACCATGTACTGTCTCAGTGACCAGAGAACACCATGTACTGTCTCAGTGACCAGAGAACACCATGTACTGTCTCAGTGACCAGAGAACACCATGTCTCAGTGACCAGAAAACACCATGTACTGTCTCAGTGACCAGAGAACACCATGTACTGTCTCAGTGACCAGAGAACACCATGTACTGTCTCAGTGACCAGAGAACACCATGTCTCAGTGACCAGAAAACACCATGTACTGTCTCAGTGACCAGAGAACACCATGTACTGTCTCAGTGACCAGAGAACACCATGTACTGTCTCAGTGACCAAAGAACACCATCTGTTTCTGTTTTAAGAACGTGTCAGCAAATTTTACATTTTCGTGTACTCATCCTGTAGAGATGTATCGAAATGCCGGATTACCCATGCGTTATCTCTGCATGGTTCAGTAAGTTCTAGTTTTAAGGTTAATCGTTTAGACCACACAAACGACCTTAGGGTTAGTTGGATTTGAACAACGAATGTAAAAGCCAATCGTTACGTAACATGTGTGTGGATTGGGATACGTTTGACTAGAGAAAATAATGTACTGTCTAAATGAGCAGAGAACACAGTGTCTCAGTGACTTAAGAACACAATGTCTCAGTGACCCAAGAACACCATTTCTCAGTGACCCAAGAACACAATGTCTCAGTGACCCAAGAACACAATGTCTCAGTGACCCAAGAACACAATGTCTCAGTGACCCAAGAACACAATGTCTCAGTGACCCAAGAACACAATGTCTCAGTGACCCAAGAACACAATGTCTCAGTGACCCAAGAACACAATGTCTCAGTGACCCAAGAACACAATATCTCAGTGACCAGTTAACACTATGCACCGTCTCACTGACGTGGTATACCATGCACTGGGTTGATGGGGTTGGGTGTAAGAAGAGGTTGTTCCTGTGAAGAGTGAGTCTCTTAAGTTATTCGTGTGTGTGTGTGTGTGTGTGTGTGTGTGTGGTAGCGACATTTTAGTGTGAGTAGTAAAAAGGGGGCTTAAAGCGTGTGCGATTGGGTTGTTCGGCTATGTTCGGCTAGGTTCGGCTATGTTCGGCTATGTTCGGCTATGTTCGGCTATGTTCGACTATGTTCGGCTATGTTCGGCTATGTCCATTATATACCATTGTGGTAGCGTCATTTGGTGGGAGAAGTTGTGTGTTGTGAAGTGACCTTGACCAGACCATCTCTCACACCTATCTCGCAAGCTTCCCCTGAGGGACGAAGCGAATATCTGGCAGAAACCCACGGGTGTACTGACTGGCAAGGTTAGCATCAGAAATGGTGGATTCTTTTTTACATGGAGCCGAAACGTTGCGAAGTGTTGTATCGGCAATGTGTTCCAGACTTGGACTAAATAAACACCCAAAATGGCGTTTCTGTTGGCGGTTACGTCCTACCTCTACCATGCCATCCTCTCCCCTTCACCTACAAGCTCATGTGTGATGTAACCTCTGTTGTAGTGTAAAAAGTTTAACACTAGAATGAGCACGCAATGAACCATGTAAAGACAAGTGGGAGTAATGCGGGATGTTGATGACTGTCTACATGATGAGTCAAACAAAATGCAAATAAAGCTGTACGTGCTTAAAACGTTAAATAAAGGCAATAGAGTTAAGTTAACCTTAGACAAGAGTGTAGCTCGATCTAGTTTGTTTTGATGGACAACATGGAACAGATGTTCTCAGAAAATATCAGTTTTTTAGTTGACTGAATTTTCTGGTCCTTTTAACAAAGGTTTATTTTCCGTTTGATGTTTGCAATTAAAGCCGATACGCTGGGTTTATTTATAAAGAACTGATTATAACACGCGATCGTTCAAGTTTTATAAAATACTGATACCTACAAGTCACATTCTTTGAAGTTCCAAGCACATTTAGCGACCAGTTATTTTACAAAAATAAAGTAATGTCATTTACTTTTAGATGTGTACTAGACGACCTTGTTTCTTGTTGGAAAACGGTCTCTCGGATGCACTGCACAACACAAGCGAATATCCCATACGTCCACCCCACCCTTTTAAAGCCCTTTAACCCCAAATCAATCCCCGTTTTAAGACCTAAAGCCAGTCACGTCGATTTTTGGCATCTTTCTATGACGTCCGAATGGCGTGGCAGGACTGAGGTTAAGTTTGTGACGAATTCCATTCATCAAATGTAAAAAATTCGGAATCTGTTAGGAAAACAACAACCCAAAGATATATATTTATTCGAAAAAAAATTAATTTATTCAATACCAAACTGATTTATTGCCTTAAATATTTCAGTTAAGAACCTTTTTTAACTTTCTCGTATACAGATTATAGAGGAAGTATTGTAATCGTGCACACAAATCACATGAAAATTTGACAGTTTTCATCGTTTTACACCTCAGTACTTCATCATATACGGAATATAGGGGACTTATTTTAATCGTGCAAAAAAAAAAAATTTAAAAAATGCAGATTTATCAAAATTTCAACATTCTATGCATAATTGAGTCAGAAAAACTGGGCTTTGCAATACTGTCCGTATGTGGTAGTGTGTGTATGTGTGTGGGTGTCTTTGAACACGATAACTTGAGTACCGTTACAGATAGGTTGATGAAATTTCTTAAAAATCTATTTTTAGCTCTGCATCAACTTTTCAGCGATTTCCGGTAACCGGAAAAGGAACTTATTCTACTTTGGTTTTTCAAAAGCCTATAACTTGACTACTATTTTAGATAGATAAACGAAATTTCACGAAATAAACAAAATTTCACAAATACGTAAAAAGTAATTCTCTGCCTTCTGTCAAATTTTGAGTAATTTCCGTTGACTGGAAATAGTAATTTACGCTAGTTCCGATTTTCTTACATAACGCACGTGAATTTATAAAGTATTAATAATATTCCGCACTATTAAACACAGATTGTTTGGCGTTTACTTGGTGCGCAATTCTTCTTCTACGAGATTCTATTCTATTTTAAAAAGTTTAGGTAATTTAAAATGGATTAAAAATCATGTCTATATCCCGAGCCATCCCCCGTAGTGTTATATAAGAATATTCGAGAAAGTTTAGGGGAGATCACTCCCGGTTTATTTTAAAGAAAAAAAATATTTATCTTGTTTTTTTTCGACATAAATGATTTTGTCAGTGCTTTAAGCAGTGCGTAATATGATGACACAAACATTAATTTCTTAATTTTCTCGAATTGGAATATTTTTTTTAACCCTCCGATACTTAGGCCACTCTTAGCCATGGAGTAAAAATTATGTCAAATATTATTTTAAATAAAACTAAATTTTTATTAAACCTATTCCACTGCTAAAAAATAGAGATAGTTATGAAATATTCAAGACCTGCATATTTTGAATTAAAAAACTCAATTATTCATTGTAGTTTTTGTTTTCAATAAATTGAATTTAAATTAAATTTTATAAAACAGTTTAATTTACAGAAAAAAAACCTCATTAAAAATGTGTATATGGTTTTTCTTGTCCACAGTGTTCTCTGGTCACTGAGACAGTAAATGGTGTTCTCTGGTCACTGAGACAGTACATGGTGTTCTCTTGTCAATGAGACAGTACATTGAGTTGTCTGTTCACTTAGACGGTACATGTTGTACCCTGCTCACTGTCACTGAGACACTCCTAGGTATTTTCGAAGTGGAA